GAGAGGAAGGAGGAGGAGGAGAAGGAGAGGGAGAGAGAGAAGAAGGAGGAGAAAAAGAAGAGGAAGAGGGAGAAGAAGAGGGAGAAGGAGGAGGAGAAAAAGAAGAGGGAGAGGAAGGAGGAGGAGGAGGAGAAGGAAGAGGAGAAAAAGAAGAGGGAGAGGAAGGAGGAGAAGAAAAAGGAAAAGGAGGGGAAAAAGGAGGGAGAAGGAGAAGGAAAGGGAGAAGGAGAAAAAACTATTGCCATTGCCTGGGAAAAGACCTCCACCCAAAATGGTGGGAGAATTTCTCTTCTCTCTGAGAGCCGATCTTCATGCCCTTGATCTTAGCCCAAAGGCCGAGAAGCAACATTATTTTCATTGCTGCTCGGCAACAGAGCAGCTGAAGCCCTCCAGCCCAGAACCCGTTCTTCAGTTCAGTGTGGTATCCTAAAATGCCTTAGGACTACAACTCCCATCCCTGGGGAGCCCTGGTCATGCTGGCCAGGGCTGATGGGGAGGGTCATTCAAACCCTCGGAAACCCCACCAGCTTGCGTTACCCGCTGGCCTGACTCATCGCACCGTTTTGCTTACTCAAGTAACTTGACCGGAGCCGGGACTGAAATCGGGCCTTTCGGTGCCCATCTCAAGACTTCAGCACTTGGTCTTTACAACCAGCTAATGGAAGGGAACGCTCTTTCCTTCTCAGACACCAGGAAACCTCATCGAGGGAAAAGCCATTCCGAAGGATTTGCCACATCCCTCCCTCGCCCTGGCCCATCTGTCCTACGTGCGGCCAGAAATTCAGAGCTTGTGCCGGAATGGAGAGAGAGAGAAATCGAACTATCCGAGGCAAAATGGGCTTCTGAAATTCCCTGCTGTTCAGCGAACGTTTAGCTTACATGTAACCTTAATTATAATTAATTACAGCCCGTAGGCACGTTGCAAGAGAGAATCGTCCTTCGCTGGGCTCCTAAGGGATAGTTATCTTTGACGACGATAAGGACTCGCTCCTCCTGGCTTCTGTTTCAACGGAGTTTCTCTTCTCATGGTGAGGAAAGCTGATGATTGCCCTGCTCTATATTTAGGCCGGGCTGTTCAGCTTTCTGCAGAGCTGCAAGGAAGAGGTCTGGAAATGTCTCACGTGTGAAAGAAAGAAAGAAAATAGACTTAGTTCTTCCTTTAATTATAAGCATTGAGACGCTTCTTTGAATAGCGCCATTTTCTCTGCCCCGGGGGCTGGATTTCACTTCCCAGAATCCCCCAGCTTAGTATGTGCATTAGCGGAAGAAAGGGGGGAGGGAGGCAAGATACAACCTAATTTGAGGCTCAATCATTCGCTTGGCTTTCTAAAAGCAATCATGAAGAGGCAAATTTTAAGGGGAGGGGGGGAAACAGCCTCTCTTTTGACCCTCCCAGCAAGCTGAATACTGGGTTGGAAACGTGACTGTGGTCTTCCGAACTCGCAGGGGAATGATTTCGTTTCTACCTTGAGAAACTTAACTCCTAAAGATTTTAAAGACGAATGCCCCGTTGAAACCAGAGGCTTTTCTTTGGGGACTCATGGACAAGCAGCTGGAAAAAAGTCAGGGAACTTGGTTTTTATATATGGCAGCTGCCGCGAGGTTATTATACGCTCAAAAGCGGAAAGGCTCAGCGCTACCCGCAATGGAGGAAGGGTTGGTGAAGATGGTGGAACTTGCAGAGATGGTTAAATTGACTTCTTTGACAATATCTACATTTATTCCTGACTGGAAACTCCTTATAGACTTTTTGCATGGAACAGAAAAAATAAAATAAAAATGAATGTATGATGTGTGGTTTTGATGATTAGAAACAAACTAGATAATAGAAAAAAGAGAGCTTTTCTTTTTGTAACCAGAGTGAGAGTGAATTTTGTCATTATACTTGTATTTGCTACAAAGAAAATCGGAAGCTTCTTCTATTTATCTTCTTCTTTTTTTGCACTTTCGCCTTTTCTATTTTCTCTCTCTTTCCCGTTCTTCTCTTTCTTTACTTTATATTAGGCTTTGTTAGTTTTTAACCTTCTTTTAAAAACTTTTTAATAAAAAAAGAGAAACCACAACGCTCCGATGGAATATGGCAGCTTCTCGCGAGGATCTCCGAACGCGTCGGACTAGAATAATGGCCACGATAGTTAGATACGTGGGGGGCACCAGGTTGGGGAAGGCTGGTGTTCAATGAAAATGGGCAGACTGCAGCTGTGTTGATGTTCTCTTTCCTTCTTGGAGGTGGGGGCCAAATACTGCTGCATCTGGTGATGCTGAACCCCGCAGCTCAGATGCTAGGAAGACAAGTTACTACAGATGGGTGTTTTTCAACCTTGATAACTTTCAGATGTGTGGACTTCAACTCCCAGAATCCCCCAGCCAGCATAGGGAATTCTGGGAGTTGAAGTCCACACATCTTAAAGTTGCCGTGGTTGAGTGAGAATTCTAACCCAGAATTTGGGACCTTCCCTTCGCCAAGGTTCATTGCATAAACTGTGGCCTGGCTTCATACACCATGAACCTTGGTTGCCACACCAGTGATTTGGTGGGCTGGAGGGCTACCC